GAGAAACGGCTAAACCAAGCCCACCTTTCCATTCCCCTTTTTTCATTTGTGTTATCACCTGTGTTGTGTTAAGGGACATACTGCAGGGAGCTTCATGATTACATTTACAGTATCTAATGTTTCCTTTGGTGTTCATTCACATGGCGTAAAAAAAAGCAACATATTGTTTCTTTTTTTATGTCCTCTGATGCTACCATCATCTATTAAAAGAGTTCTTTTTTCAGCTTGCCTTCGCCAGGCGTATGTTGCCCTCCTCTCTTCTCTGTCGGAGACCCGGAGTGAATGTGGTCCCTTCTGCTGTCACGTTCAGCACATTTTACCCCGCTCCCCTATTTCAAGTTCTGTCATTGCCAGGCTTTGAACTGCCATTTGTGTTTTACCCTGCACAATGCTTGTCTCCAGAGCTTCGTCTGGTGTGAAATTGTCAGAGCCATGGGCCACGTTTCAACACGGGGTTTTCGTAATAAGTAATGCAGAAAGCCTGTCTACAGACTGGACACGTTCAGGCATGCTCAACAGCATTCTATTTCAAAGCTCTGATGCTTGTTGTGCCCTTTGGATCTTTTGTTTATGTGTTTTTTAATAAATTATTTAGTGCTGCTACCAATGATTCAGCCAGCCGCAATCTAACATTTTTGTCCCGTTTTAGATGCCGTTGTCACCCTGGAAACATAACCCCAGACCTGTTTTCAGTGGTGGAAAGCAAAGTATAATTTGAGATACTTTTGGTGAATTTGTTCAGTTTTATGTTTTATGCTATACCTACTATACTACTACGTAAAATTTCATATGACCACGTGTTGTCCACAACATTTATTTTAGAGCTATACTGTTATACTATTACCTGGCCTGGATGTAATGAACTAAATATAGTCAAATTATAAAATATGCATTGTTTTAGATTAAACCACCCAGTAGTGTATAAATACCTAAAGAATAGACTTCACTTTGACCAGCTACAATATTAAAATGCAATGTTAATACATCAGTGATAATAATTAGAATTTTTAATACACATAATAATATAATATTCATTATAATAAGTATTTGTGCTTTGGATACAAAAGTACCTTTTGGCGATAATAGTTTTACTAGCAGTGGTTTTGTATGCTTTACCTGATTTACCACAAACACTTTACATCACCACTAAACCAAGCTGCTGTGTTTTACAAATTTGAATGTGTTTTTCCTTCCATTCCAGACATCCTTGCTTTCCATTAATTTCTTTCAGTATGAAAATCAATACGCAGGCTCTTGAAACTTGCTTGAATTGCATAATCCATCACAATGAACATCAAGTCTGCATTCATTTTTGTCAAAGTTACATTATTGTTTTGCACTGCTGACTTTTTAAATTAATCTGTGCTTAAACTGAATTATTATGCACCAGTAATGTAACATTTAAAAAAGGAATGCAGACTTTGATATTCAATGCAATGATCACACACCTGAAGTCAGTTTCAAGAGCCTGTGTATTGATTTTCATACCGCACAGAAATGTGTCACCTGGAACAAAAACATCCAAAGACGGTCAGCAAAACTTTTTAAATGTACATGATCCATAGTTAAATAAAAAATAGTTTGTCCCTTCTGAGCTACTGTAGAAACATGGCGGCTCAATATGGCAGACTCCATAGGAGGCAGCCCACAACGTCTGTAGATTAGGGGTGGGCGATATGGGCAAAAAATATGGTATGGTTATTTTTGGGGATTTTGGCGATAACGATAATCAGTCAATATCCTTTAAAATGTGATTGGAACTGTCTGAGTTAGTGCTTGTGTGCTCAAAAACTCATTTTCGGAGCGCCCAGCGGTGTTAAAAGTTGAACAGATTTCAACTTGAAGCGCTCTGAGCGCTGCGCTAAAAAAACGTCTCTGCATCTTTTTACCGCTGAAGGCGCTTAGGGCTCTGAACGCTGAAGCTCATAGGATTTGTATTCAAAATAGGCGCTGCTAGCACTAAAAACGTGTTTGGTGGACACAGACCCTTATCAGTCTTTTCGAAACCAAACCATTTCCATGCCAGAGAGGTAGACCCACGTCTCGGCACTAAATCATCTGAAGTACCTGTAGTTTCAGGGACTGGAGGTGCTTGCATTTTCCCTCTACCATCACAAAGCGCTGCTAAACTGTTGCAAGGAGGATGCTAGCGAGAGGTCACGTAGGCCCACTAGTCGTATGACTGAATCCTGCCACGCTGTAGAGAGCCTTGCTGCACCGTGTATTAAGTGGATGTGAGGAGTTTCCGCGTGTTAATATTGTCAATATTTTTGGCAAAGTAATATAAATACTCGATAATGGAAATTTGCACATCGTCAAAACAACAATGATATTATCGCAAACGATATATATCGCCCACCTCTACTGTAGATATAAAGAGCTCATTCTAAGGAGAACATAATGCTTCTTATATTCAGGTGATTATACGCTAATGAAAACACAGTTATGAATTTTATATTCCATTTCTTGCAATAGATTATCCTAAAAGTTACACACCAAAGCTTTAAAGAGCTGAAACTTGGAAGGAATACGTTTTCATGCAGGATTTTTCCTTGAGACGTGAGACTATTGTCACACTATCATAGTGTTACTTTTACTTCAGTAAAGGACATGAACTCTTTTTTGTAGTGACCTTCACAAAAATAAAGCAGAAAATACAAGCACATGCTTTGTAACTACGGTAATGTTGGTTTTGTTCCTCTGAGACAGCTCTTGGTCTGATGCTCTGATGCTTTTGTACATCAGGCTCATTCTCTGGGCATAAAGCATCCACTCAGGATCTTCAGTAGACTATAGCTGTGCTTGTTAGCTTAATAACAACAGCAGTTCTAGTGGCTGGTAATGACTGGGACCTCTATGAGTCTCCAGTTGATGAAACCAACTAAGTCCTGTGCAGGAGTCCACTTGTTAGGAGAGACCCCGGGGAAAGATTTTTAGTTACTGCAGTGATGGCGCAGCGCCTGTCTCCGTAATGGCTGGGTGGGCTGCTGGTGAGAATTTTGCGGCTTGAAGTGCTACCAAATATGCAGTCTCTGCTTTGTTTCCCCCTGAGCACTGAGCAAACAAGCTGTCTGTTGTACCTGCAGTGGCTTTTCCTCTCAGCTACAAAGATTTCTGGGAGTTGTAATGCTACCTTGGCTGAGGATTTTATTTGTGTAATGTGAGGCGTACTGTATCTTAAAAATACTTTGATCCTAAAATATGTTGAGTTGATGATAAGGAAGGAAGTTAATTGAATCCCTTAATATTTTTGCCAATCTCCACTGGCACTCTCTCAAAAATTCAGGCATGTGCACCTCATTTGAACTGTGAAACTTTATCATTTATGCACAGTGCTCAATGTTTACAAGTGACGATGAAACGAGGGCACCCCGAGCTCAGAGACAAGGTCCAAATGTTTCAATTTCAATGCAACATAAGCAATTAGCATAGCGCTTATTAGTGTGCTCCATGCTTTCTCTCTCTCTCTCTCTCTCTCTCTCTCTCTCTCTCTCTCCACTCCTTATCTGTGAATCTCTCTCATCCCTCGTGCCAGCGGGAGATGAATATGTCTTCGATGTCCTTGGATTCCTGTCTTGTAAACACCATAGGCGGTGAGCACTGTTTACCGGTGTGCATGGCAGGCAAACAGCCGCCCCCGTCTCTTGCACAGTTCGTCCCGTGGGGCCAAACTCACCTTGTTACCCTTTTAATTAGTAAGAGCAGTTAATAGTGCCGGCCGCTTCTGCCGCCTCAGCACTCTGCTCCGACTTCAAGTATCCCTCCAATCAATAGCAAGGAGTCCGACAGAGGCAGCGAGGTGAGGGTGAGGGGGGGTTGTATTGTGGGAGAAGCTAGGGTACATTCATGATGCTTTTTGGAAAGAAATCAAACAACATACTATTTTCTTTGAAGGAACCTTTGGGGCGGGTGTATCAATAACTATGCTTTCTCTTTTTTCCTTGTACATTTGAAGGGATAACAAGGTCTCTGGGTTCCTCATGCACATTCCTCTCGCCCACTTTCTCCTCTCCCACATTTCCTTTCCCTCGAAAATGAATGTAATCAAAAAGCTAAGGGTTTGCTCGGCAGATTCTATTGTGCCCTTATAAGCTTTTATCCCTTCCAACCGCTCGCCCCCCGTGCTCATTTCTTTTCTTGTTTTGATTTAAAGATGCAGTGGAAGTACTTAGCATTTAGATGACATGCTGCTGGAGAGGTGTGATGGATCAGCGCCTCTTCAGAGGACTGAATTTCTTCGACAGCACCAGGGCCAGTCGGCCGGTCAGACAGACAGAGCGACAGAGCGCAGGACAACAGGGACTGGGTGGGCAGCAGAATACCAAGTCAGCCTCACTGCTGCAGATAGCCTGGCACAGCCGAGAGGAGAGCAGAGGCTGCTGGGAATGCCAATGTGCTGCCCAGACAGCCGTCTCGCCTTGGCTCCTCTGATTGGCTAAACAGACCATTAGCTTCTTGATTATGATTAGCCGAGTCATTATCTACACAAAAGTGGCTCATTCACCAATATTAAGAAGGCAAGGGAGCTGTTTTCTTCCTCCGGTCAAGGGGAAAACAGCGTGTTTTCATGTGCCTCTCCTAAAGATGAATGTAGGAGGCAAGAAGTTGTTGCTCACAGAGAAACAAAGTGGAACACATCCCCCTGCCCCACAGCTAATGTGATAAAATGTTCTGTCTGTGTGATGCCATTGATGGAGAAAAGGAAAGGTCTCTCACTCGTTAACGCAGATGATGAGGTGCCCATTACTCGCTCGTATTTTCTGGTCGAGGAGAGAAGCGGCGTCCTCAGAGGTCATAAAAACTGGGAGGGAACAAAATAACCTTCAGCTTCCGTCATCTTGCCTTAGATATAATTGGAAGACACGCCATCTGTGCTTTTAAATGGACATATGCTGCTCTGCGTCCAAGGCCAATATGCTCAGGGAAAGTTGAATAAAACGTTAGTGAAGGCTGGCCCTCTGTTCCACTGACGCTGACCTTCTACTTTCTTTTTTCCCCAGCCTTTGCCCAAGGAGCCGTCGTAGGATGCAGAGGAAAACAGCAAGTATGTGAGTTTTATATGATGTATTTCCTTCTAATTTGCATACTGAGCGCATAACCCTGCTCCGGTTCACGTCAGCATACAAGCAACTAAAGACATTTTGATTGCCCCATCCTGTAGAGAGTGGAAATAATAACTTTTTAAGGGGAACTTGACGAACAGCAGAAACCTAGCCTCAATTCTAAGCTGCATAAAGGTTCAGTGTAGCCCAGACCTGGAATGAATCAGACATTAGTGTCTATTCATGTATTTTATCCAGTACTGCTTTAAAGTTAGTTTAAATAAAGATCATCCAGGACTAGGAGAAGACACAATGGAATAGTACCATTCCTCAGGATGCAGTCACTTTGATGTATCTATACAAGAAAAGAAATTAAATCAAAGGGGGTTATTGGAAGTTTTGAAATGCATAAGGTTGGAAACTAAAAAGCCCCACTGTTGTTACATCAAAGGGAGAGGCTACTTCAAGTGGACAGAGGTAGAAAACAGATATGAATGGGAGCCAATGGGAGAATTGAAAAAAATCTTTCTAAATGTCATGGTAACAGATTCCTAAGATACCTGCCTTACAATCCCTCAAGTCGATATCCCTTTATTAAAAGTCGGTGGATAAACCAGAGCCAGGAGCAGGCTAGCCTGACTCTGCTCGTAGGTTTTAACTTCACTTCCACAAACATTTTTCTTTTCTCTAAAAAACAAGGAAATATACTAAAGATTAAACTGAATTCCCTTCCGAAGAACATTGACTGAGTATCTATGAAGCTTTTATATTCTGCAAAACCGCAGGCATTTGGAATCTGCATGCTTTATGTCTCCTAGCCAATATTCTAAGATTGATTTTCCCTCTTCCACCGAGAAAACAAAATGAATCACGCACAATTACCAAGGACAGGGAGAAAAGGGGAATTGGGGGCGTCATAAATATTTATTTGCCAGCCCTGGGAATTTGTGCAATTCTGTGTGGATTTGCCAACTCATATTTAAGTGTCTGAATGATTTATATGGGCAGTCCTGGGTGTCACATTTGTCCACTGTCACCCTGGATCATTTATGTATTAACATTTATGGATTTATCCATATAACATATTCATGGCAGAGTTGTATTATCATTCAAATGGGTTTCTTGATCAAATGATTGGCTAAATTATGTCATTAACTGCAGAATTTCACTTGAGGTGAAATGCATTCCACATAAAGAATCATTCATAAAATTTTGTTTGTTAAATACATGAAATTGTGCAAAAAAAGGAGCTACAGCTACATTGGCCTCAGATAAAGCCTCTTTCAGGCATGGAATATGTCAAATTGCTGTTTAAGTAATGGCTTTTTGTCAATCAGACATGTGTCCATTATGTAAATGTTCAGCATTATTCAGACCCTGATGGTAAGAACCACAGTGCTAGCGCCATATGTGGCAGCTCGTGCATGAAAGGTAGCAACTGGCCCTCTTACAAACAGTGCTGAGTTAAAAAGTAACATCAAGATAGAGAAGTGTTTTTCCTCCTCATTACTGATGGATTTTAAAACCTATTTTATAGTTGAAGCCTTAATTAATGGCCATCGCAAGTGTTAGGGACGCATCATAATCTTTCTCATCTCAGTCCACCATTTATTACATAAAGTGGTGAAATGTGCCGAAAGTAGTAGTGCCGGTTTCATAATATTCAACAGTGCACGAGCATAGAATGACAAGCATTAATTTGTGGCTTTCACTTAATTCTTAATTAGCTCACATGCTGTATGTAAAGTATTCAGCTGAAGCTGGCACAGATGAAAATTGAAAATACAGGGAGGGGGTGCTAGTCTGATTATTACTGTGGTTGTGGTTTCTTTTTTTCCTTGCCCTGCACTGTGAGGGTAACGGAAAATAATATCCTCAACAGATTAAAATGGTTTCATTCTGTGATTTGTGGTTTATTAAAGTGATTTTATTTTTGATTAAAAAAACAAATCAGGAAGCGCTTCTTGGATTGTTCCTGTTGCAAAGGTAGGCAATCCGTGTCTCCCAAAAAAGTCAAGGCACTCTGCTTCATTAAGGTAGACAAATTAAAAAAGTCTTTATTGTAGTGGTTGCATGATTTTAGAAATAATAGTTAAGTAATTAAATAAATGTATTACATTTCTCTTAAGAAGGCTGAAACATGGGCATTTAATCTCCCTGACCTTGTCTAGTGTCGCAGTAACCTTTATGTTACTGTGATGGTATCGGAGTTGTGTTACAGAAAATGTTACTGAAATGTCAACTACATTTGACCTAGTAAGATTGCCATCATGACTTTTACATTAACGTGACTCGGGCGCTTATTCCGATGTAAGACCAACATGTAACATTATCAGCTCATTTACATAACAGGGTGCGTGGCTCATGAAACCATGTTTTCCTTCTCTTTTTCTTCCATTCCTCCGCAGGTTCATTGACATCCACGCTACAAAAGGAACTGAGACCTATCACTACACCAGAACATTGTCTCCATTCACCAACAAGGCTCCCAAACTTTACACCAGACTCAACCTTCAATTTAAAAAAAGAAAATAACCCAGAGCTTCTCCAGACACCACAGCGAAAGACTCTCAGCAGACACTCCTGAGAACTCTGAGAAGTCTCAAGTGAGCAGCATGGAACACCATCGGCATTGAAATTTCACCGCAGCCAAATTTATGGACACATCACAGAACAAAATCCCTGTGAGGAACAATTATTAACAGGGCAGTGGAATATTCATTGAAGTACATTACCTTTTTTTTGTCTTTGTTATCCGACATCAGGTCTGCAGGGGACGGCTCCTTGAAGACTTTTTGGAACCTTTGTGGCTTGATTTAGACTTTAGTCAGAAGGTCTTTCAAAAGTCAGCCCCTTCATCTTCTTTACTATCCCCGCTATGAAGCCGTCCAGGGTTTTATTCCAGCCAACTTTCTTTAATGACAGCTCGCTGCTAAAGAGTCGTGACTTTACAGAGGTTGAGCCGGGCCACATCGTCCATTGGATTCTAGACTTTAAAACCTTTCTCTCATTTGGCTGGGTGAAACTTTACATGGCCTTAGCCTCCAAAAACCTCTGCATACATAGACGGGACGGACATTGTGAAAAAAAAAAAGTCTATTGGAATGTCACAGAAGAGACGACAGAGATGAGTTGACTGTCGTTCCTCAGTGGTCACAATGGTGAAATGTGGACATTTTGGACAATTTAGCTTATAACTTATGTTTTTTATGTGGTGCCAACATAGACTAGAAGAGTAGTTTTTGTCAATGAACCTCACACATCTTGTACACACCACCGGGAGCATTTAGCAAATGTGGACCCCTGGCTCATTTTATTGGTCTATACTTTGTGTGTCTGTATGTGTGTGTGTGTGTGTGTGTGTGTGTGTGTGTGTGTGTGTGTGTGTGCATGTCTGCATCTGTCCTTGTCTGAATTTGTGTGTGTGTGAGTGTGTATGCTTGTGTGCCTTTGTGTGAGTGTGCGTGCACATCCAGAGATACACTGTGAAATAAGTCATATCCAATGCATTATTCATACTCTTGTATATTTTTGAGACACGCCCAGACCAGAGCTCACCATCTGGCAAAAGAAACATTTGTGATTTTTACAGATGTTGGATCTCATTTGAATCTTCACAGATGAATCCTTGTTTTTTCTTTCTCATGTTTTCTTTAGTATATAGATATTTATATTGGGCGGGAAATATTATTGAAACTGGGGGCAGACCTACAGTATGTCACATAAGTTAAATTCTGTGATTAAAAATCAATTCATGTGTGATTAATTGTATTCCGAATACTTGTCTAAATTGACTATATTTTGATATGAAATGTTTTGGCCAGCTGGAAGTGCTATTTGCTGATTTCAGATGCTTGATATATTTGAAATTCTGTGTATATATATATATATATATATATTCAATTAATGTATTTTATGTTCTGTGGGTCTCATTCCAAGAGGAGATAAAGAAATGGAGGAGCACAAGAGGTATTCTTCTCGTACAAGAGGTGGACACAATAACACGAACACCAGTAAGATATTTGCAAAAACACAGAATATGATAAAACACAATCCAAATACAACAACACAACAAGCTACTGCAAAATGAATTAACGTCTCTCTGATGCAGTCTCAAAAAAAATCATCTTCACAGAGGTAGTGCCTGTTGCAGGGCGATTGCAATAGATTACATTATTTTGTACAGCTGTTCCTGTTAATGTGTCTACACGCTGTTTTTTCATTTCTTTGTACTAAAAACTCCTGTACATCTCCATCTTAATGTATGCATTTGAGGATATAAAGAGAGCGTCCGCTCCCGGGAGCTGCGGAGTGTGTATTTGGTGTGTATGTGTGAGTGTTTTCCAGGTCAACAGTGGTTTGTGTAGTGAGAAAATACCAATTTCCACCTGATCCCATACCTTTGATTTCATGCTGCCTTTATTTATCGCTTCTTTGGTTAGCACTCACCGTAAATAAATTGTCCCTTTGATTTGAGTCACTGTTAATGCAGGAACGGCTGATGCAGTCACACTCAGCAGGGCAGTGGCAATGTAGATCTCGATTTAAGTCAAAGTCTAAATAAGAACAGGTATAACTAAATATCTAGACCTTCTCCTCTACATGTAACGGTGTCTAAGAAATGTCAAAATCTGACAGTAGGTAGGCATTTATACAAGCACATATCATCAAAAAGGGTTATGCAAGTTTTAGCACTGCTCTGGTGCACTGTTGTGGACTATATAGGACCCCAAACTGAGGGAGTGTCCTTAAATTGTCAGGACTATAAATTCCTTTTGTGTTCCTCAAATGTCTATAAATATTTTATATCTATATTTTACGCTGTCCTTGTTTTGAAAGAAGCTTTGGTTGAAACTACTTGCCAATTATTTTTCAAACATGACACTGCGACAGTATCTAAGACAAACTGGAACTATAAAAAAAACTAATAAGGTTTTCTTCTAAAATGAAACTGGGTAACATTTTGAGGCCTATGTGTGATGTATGATAATGTAGATATTGCATAATGCATCATAACAGAAGCATATTACACTATAAAAGTTGCCACAGGCCCACAGGATAGTCCAAAATGTGGGGCATGGTTATTGAAGAATAACACACAAAGTGCGGGTATTGAAATATAACAGCAGTCAGTAAGTGTGGAGTACATTTTTCATAACAGCACAGTGCATCATGAATTGTTTTATAACTTACCGGTAATACTTTTATAGGGCCATATATTTCTTATAATTTCTTGGGAAGGTTTTTGGAAAAAATCCCTTCATTCAATTGGAACTTTTAAAGAATATTTTTTGGGGCTTTTTTGCCTTTATTATAGTGACGGTTGAAGATGGACAGGAAAGGGGGGCAGAGAGAGGGGATGACATGCAGCTAAGGGCCGTCCGATCCGAACCCTGGGCAGCTGCAGCAAGGACTCAGCCTCGGTACATGGGTCACCATCTCTACCCACTGAGCTAACCGGGCGCCCATTCAATTGGAACTTTTGATTAATTAATCCTAATTAATTTCAGGTGATACTGCAAACATTTGCATTTTTTCTATATGCAAGCATACAATTCCATATATATATTTACCAATAAAAAAGAAATTCTGAATACATTTTACTTAGAATTGATGAAGAAGATATGTGCTGATAAAATCAACACAACTAACTAAACTTTAACAGCTGTCTCAGAGTTCTTTCCGGGAAATCTTAAAGAAATCATTAGGAAATAACAGACCCATAAAATTGAGCGTTGCTGTACTTTCTATAACCATTATTGATAAGAGAGTTTTTATGTTTTTTTTATGTATTCACAATAACACAGTAACATTTACTGTAAGAAAGGTGAAAATACCCAAACATACAGCATCATCAAGAATATTATGAGTCCCAGTTGGCTATAGAAACTGAGGCGTGCGGCCTCTGTATTTGCTGCCGAGCCAGTATTCCCACTCTACTCCCACTCATTTAGAGATGTTCTTTCAACAGGCCCTGCTGCTGCTTCCTTCCATTTTCAATGTCTGTCGTGCTGTCTCAGGGTTTTGAACGTGGGCTGCTGTCAGGATCAACAAATGGTACGAAAGTGGTATCCTGCCCCCTGTCATTTATGGCACAGTACAGCATGTTCACTGGATGTTCCCTTTCTTTACCAGAAGCAGACAATGAGGTATAATGAAGCTGTTATGGCAAGCTATAACCACTCTGTGTATTCCAGTTGCAAGAAGAACCACAATGTTGATCAGACCTTATAATCTCTAATGCAAATAAGGTGATTTAGCATGAGTAGTTGTGATATTTGACCTAATTATTGTCTTGATACATTACACATTATTATGTGTTAGTGCATGTAGGTATCAGACATTGTGAAACATGATTCTTAGAAAGTTTGAACAGAAAATGACCTCCCTACACAACCAGAGGACTAGTGGAGAAAATATGATTCCAATCACTATTAGCGCTTGTAATTGACCTTTTTCACAGCACCCATTTTGACATGAAATAGTACTATAGTGGAACTTAGCTTTAATTAGTATCAGTGGTAACACCTGTGATTACTATTCATGTCAAAATGGCTGCTGTGAAAAATGTCTATTGGAACTGTGTCCAGTAACTGAAGAGTGTTTAGGTGAAAGTCAGCACGTCTGTATGAGAGCTTTATTTCTGAGCCACACCACTTCTCAAGTGTTATTCAATAGCTTTAGTGTGTGTCAGTGTCAAGCCTAGATAGTATCAACCATCATGCAACACAATGACACCTGACACTCCATCAGTTCTGGTCTTACAGGCTGTTTCTCTGTTTTCAAAAAAGTAATTGTGTCTTCACATGTGGGATATCTTTTCCCACTTCAATGAAACCTTCAGGCGCAGGATGGACAAGTGTTTCAGCACTGTAGGCCTTCGTCACTGCATTTCTGCTTTGCCACTGAGTCCTCCTCATCCACAATAGATCTCTGGCCGAGCCTAATGAAACACAAACACACCCCTGAGGCTCAGACAGACTTGCTAAACACAGCGTTGTTGAACAGCGCCGCAGTGTAGCGAATTAGCATTTATGCCCACATAAAAATCCATTTACTGATCCATTAGCTTAGCATAGTGCTAATGAGTTGCCAGTGATGACTCGCAAGGGACTTGGTTAGCAAGCGAATCGTCATTAAAGTTACATTTACGCAGCCACAGCTCCATACATGTAAAGAGCACATGACCTGGACTGTAGATTATAAGAACTTAGTATAAACCCTTTCTTTTTGTTGTAAATTAGTTTTTACATTATGGCCAATTATATATTTTTGGTCTCTACGAATGCTTCCCAGACACCTGCATGTTTGGCTTGTGGAAAATGTGCCGCTGTCACATGAAATCTGTTGTACCATCCCTCAAACTAACAATGAGGAGGTGGCTGTACTCTACAATTACAACAAGTCCCAGATAAGCAGAGCAGCACTGGCTGCAGAAAGCGCTTCCTGCATGGTAACTGAAAAGTAGAATACAATCAAAGGTATCAGTGGACTGAGCCCTAAGCAGCTAATATCAAACGAGGTTTCTGGAGAGGTGCCTGACTTTTATTTTCTTGGCCTTGCTCTCTATTATTACAACAGACACTTCAATGTCAAATTCAGACCTGCTTAAGTGAAGGTATGTGCAGCGCGGCAACACGCCGTATCCACTTGACACAGAAGAATGTGAAAAGCAGACATGCAGCTGAATTAAATGTCATTCACACCACTGAGTGATTTCCTATGAGGAGGGAAGCAGGCTGAACGATATCAGCGTCATCTGAAAATGTTTCCTCGCTGCCAAAGCCTCTCAGTCCAGGGCCCTTTGCGGTGCTTCTACAATGAAGGGGAGTCGTGGGGGGGGGATGAAGGTATAAAATGGTCGTTTTGCTAGAGCAACACAAGCTAATTTATCATTCTCCAGGGGTCAGGCGACGCTCCCTTGGTTGTGAATTTTAATGTTGTTTTTTATGGGTCTTAATAAACTCTATTTTGCTGCGAGCGTTTATGCAGAAGAGCACAACATCCTTCACTCGGCTCATTTAGTGAGTCAAGGAGAGAGGGGCCGGAGCCAAATTTAACCAATGGAGTCATCATTTTCTTACATTAATAGGACACAGTGAGGTGAAATATTGAAGGTATTGGAAAAGTAATGGGTGTCATTCACATGTTTTCTGAAATTCCATGCTGCAATGTCAGGTTGTGTATGCTAGCTGACAGTACTCATTACTCAGACGAAGTAATATACTTAACAGTAAATGTTAACATTTTACTGCCAGCATTTTAATCACTATGCATTATATACTGTATTAGAATTATCCTAAGCCTTTTGTATTATCACTTTAACCGTGTAATTCAGTCTCTTCTCCTTGATGTTCAATGTTGGTGTTGTTTTTAGCGGCATGGCTCTTGTTGGTCAGTCAGTCACTCTACTTTGGACCAGACTGAAATATCTAATATGGGATTAATTGCCAAGACATTTTGTACAGACCTTAATGGTCCCCAGATGATGAATGCTAATATCTTCTTCTATAGTGCAACCATCAGGTACATATTTTTTCAGTGAAATGTCTCGAGAAATATTTGATGGATTGCCATTATATTTTGTACAGAAATTCATATCTCCCTAAGGATTAATTGACTTTTCCTCTGGTGCCCTCATCAATCAATACTTTGTGACCAAATACCTTCAAAACGAATGACACTCCCATCAGTACCAGCTTTACTTTGTGTTTATCTAATTAGCAAATGTTGGCATGCTAACATTTTGAACTAACACTAACTAAGATTCTACATGGTAAACCTGTTTAAAGAACCAGTGTGTAGGATTTAGTGGCTTCTAGTGGTGGAGTTGCAGATCGCAATTTTCTCACTTTATTCGCTCCTTCCAAAAGGAGAAACTATCTGTTCACCCTTATCTAGAGCCAGTGTTTTGGTTTGTCCCTTCTGGGCTACTGTAGAAACATGGTGACTTGATACCGCTTTTTTTAATAACAAAAATTAGAAGAAAAGAGAACTACCTATAATGACAGAAACCACCAAAATATTACTTAGATCTTTTAGTTTGGCCCATGTCCCATCTGCTAACATGGAGGCAGTAGACTTTATGACTTATACTACAGTCAGCCATCAGGGGGCGATCAAGATGTTTCGGATTCACTATTGGGGAGCTGTCACGTCTTTTGTCGATGGTGCAGCCCCACATAGCTATAGCTTTACTGGATTAAATAGTGAGAATACTGTAACTCCAACAGTAAATATGACTAACCAAACTTTTAAAATTAACTTATTATTAACTTATTAACATATTAAGGTTAGCATTTAGGTTTAAAATAATTT